AAGTGACATCCTCTACTGCCTCTAGTAGGCATCCGAGGCAACGCTCGTATTCTGATGTAAATTTTCTGAGGAAATTCTGCTCGTAATTCGAAAAACTCGTAAACAGGGACGCTCGTATTCCGAGGTACCACTGTCCTGGGTTGCGCCTCGGCTCTGGTGCCTTTCGTTTACTCCTACCCCTCAGCTTGTACGTTGACATTGGCTTCACGTCTCTCCAGGACCGCCGAGATCGCTACTGTCTTCGCTACCTTACTCTCGCCTGTCGTGCTTTGACTTTTTCCCCTCCTGTAGTTCCTGTTCCCCTTCACCACCTCCCTCTTTCTGTCCGGTTGTCTCGCCTGCAACATTCTCTTTCGGTTAGTATTGCTAATATTTCTCCTTGTATTGTTCTGTCCATGCTCCCATGGAGGTTCCCCCCTTCCTCAATATTGCAAATCCCTGACCCACATCACTAAAGATTTTACTACTATGGTTATGAAACGCCTTTGCCTTGAACACTTCATCACATTCCTGCTCAGTTTCCATCTTCACTGATGGATCTAAGTCTGCAGATGGTGCAGGCTACTGGTTTTTCCTGACCACACCTGTGTGTGTCGCCTGCCTTTGGAGACTAGCATCTTCACGGCAGAACTCTATTTTCTATGCTCTTCGTCTCCTGCTTTCTCGTTGTCAATCCTTTGTGGTTGTAGTCGATTCTCACAGCGCCCTCATGGCTCTGGAGTCGTTTAATCCAGTTCATACGGTGGTCGTCGAGATTCAACATTGGCTGTTTCTTATCCAATAGATTTAAGACAGTTGAGTTTTGCTGGGTTCCCAGCCATATTGGTGTGTCTTTAAATGTGCATGCAGACACTGCTGCTAAGGAAGCTATCCACACTTGTCCCATTTCTCGTAAAGGTATTCCTTATTCCGACTTTTACCCAGTTATTCATTCCTCCATCCTTGTCCGCTGGCAGAGTTGTTGGTCTTCTGTTACTGGTAACAAAATGCATACTCTTAAGGGTAGTGTGTCCCTGTGGCCTTCCTTCTACCACCGTAACCAGCGATAGGAAACCACTCTGGCAATGCTGCATATTGGCCATATGCGCTTAACTCAGACATTTAATGGAGCGCCACCCTGCTCCTTATTGTCCTAACTATATTGTCCCTCTTACAGTTGTGCATATCCTTGTTGAATGTCCTGACTTCCAGGACGAGTGTGTGTCTTGCTTTCCGACCGTCCCTCGCGGTCACTTTTCCCTCGATAGAATTCTTGATGAATTGGATACTTTTGATATCGTTCGTCTTGTGCGTTTCTGTTCTCTTATTGGCATCCTTGGTGACATTTGGTATCCTCTGATTGTTCTGCACATTTGATGGTGCTACATAGCCTTCCCAGCTTGATGCCTTCTTTGATAATTATTTACTTTTACTGCTGCTGCTTGCTAAAATGACCATCCTATGCACTTTGTAACTTTTGGATTGCCTGTAACCAAATAAAGTTAGGAAACTTTCTTGGCTTCATGAGTAACAGAAGATTAACTCGTAATTTGACAGTCTGGCAAAACCTCTTGCCACATGCGTGGCAGTAATTGGTCTAGTCTTCTCTTGGCCCCACTTAACACTATTGGTCACTTTGGACCGGACTCTCGTCCATTATTTTTCTCCCGAGTCCTAACTTTGGACCGGACTTGCGTCCACTACAAAAATATTTGTATAAAATTCATTTTTTATCCAATCGACCTCGGGATAGTATCAAAATAAGCGCCTTTAGATTGCGCACAATTTGATACCAAAATGAAAGATGTAACATGAAACTTGATGTCCGAACACTTATATGATCATAAATAGGTTTTTGGTCAAAATTGTAAAATATTTGTTAAAATTCTATTTATTGTGCTATTATGTTGGGACTAGTTTTAAAATGCGCGCCTTTACATCGCGAACAATTTGATACCAAAATGAAAGATGTAACACAAAATTTTATGTCAGAACACTGGAAAGATATAAATAATTTTGTGATGATGAGCTTCCAGAATTAAAATATTTGTTAAAATTCCAGTTATCGCTCTATTATTATGGGACTAGTTTTAAAATACCCGCCTTTTTATTGCGAACAATTTGATACCAAAATGAAAGACGTAACACGAAAATTGATGTAATCAAACTGAACGAGTATAAAAATTAGGTTGCAGTATACAAATTGGTGCTCGTTCACGGGTAACTTTAGGCTTTTCTGCGGGGAGGCACTCCAGGCTTTTGTATATTATATTCATACACATCTGTAGGGAATTTAATTGCGAACACAATGATACCAAAACGAGCGACGTAGCACGAGAATTAAGGTGAGAAAAATGGAACAAGTATGCACATTTTACTGATTTTGTGCACTCACGGGTAACTTTTGCCGACTTTAGGCTTTGCTGTTGGGAGTCACGCCAGGCTTTTGGACATTATATTTATACACACCTGTAGGGAATTTAATTGCGAACACAATGATACCTAAACGAACGATGTAGCACCAGAATTAAGGTGAGAAAACTGAAACGAGTATACACATTTCGGTGTCGCCGCATGCTTGCCCGCACCATTGAGGCCATGACGTCAAAGTCTGCGGCACGTTCGTGGGGTGCGCGATAGTGTTAACAACTCATTAATGCTTTTACTCTTTACTTATTTAATTTTTTGGGTAGAGGGGTTAGAAATGATTAATTTTGTCAATGCTAAAGTGAATGTTCTAGAATACGCATAAATAATAGTATTCTAGTTTGTAGAGTGGTGTAGTTGATCATGTAAGTTATAAACATTTAACCATTCCTCAAAAGTTGATTAATTTTGCATGGCTGCAAAATGAAAACCCATGCATACGTTAGTGATTTGAAAAACAACAAAATACACACGGGAAGAGATTCAGTGGGTGTCAGAGATGATCTTGGGTTGATATCAATATGTTGGTTGGTTCTTCTTACGGGCTATTCATGCCTGTGCCACCTCTTGGATGGCTTAATCATCATCAGTCATCGGTTGGTTCCCTGATGAGCTCTGCGCTCTGCCCACACTGTGCTCTTCTTTGCAAGAGTTTTGTCATGACTGCAAATAAGTAAGGGGTGAGAGCAACCCTCACTAGAAGCGAGGGGGGACTCCGTGGTCACATCCATTGGACCCGCGCACACCCAGGGGGTTTCCCAGGGTCCCGAGTGTTTACTATAATAGGACTCTCGCTCAGGTAATCCCAGGCAGGGTACTGCTAACCGACGCCTAAAGCTACCAAACAACTTTCTAAGAAGTGAACTCCTGGGACGTGTACACTCACGGGGACCTAGCAGGGGGAAGCACCAGAATAATAATTGGAACTCAAGGGGGGGGGGGGACAGGGGCAAGAACAAAGACAGACCCCCCCCCCCACCAGGTAGATAAACAAAAATAAAAAAACCCCACAAGAGGACAGCGTACCCAGGCGGAACAGAGCTGGCCGCCAAATTTTTTTTTTTTTTTTTTTTTTTTTTGTGAAATATAGGTGAAAACAGGCTGTGCAGCACCCAGCGCCCCACCAGTGCAAAACTGCCCCTTACCCTCGGGCAAACAAGGGAGACGGAACACCCGAGCACACAAAGAGCGGCCGAAAACCAAGCAGTAAACGGCCTAGCAGGGGCAGAACCCAAGGAACTTGTGGAAGGTGGCCCCAAGGGCAGTACTTACAGGGCACCTAGGGAAGGGAACCCTAGGCGCATACAGCCCGAGTACTGGAGACTCATTCCTGGCTCACGCACCACCTAGAAGACAGACACCACACTCTAGGTACAGTGCTGAAGCAACAAATGGAGTCGGAGCACACAACCGGTGCCTATAGCATCAGCCGAAGAAGTGATGAGTGGATAGCCGGCGAAAGAGGTCTGGGGCTCCCCCTTCCCCTTCCCAGGCAGAGGGGAGCTGCACAGACAGCGGCGCGGTGACGTGAGACGTCATACTAGTTTGCTTGTTTTCTGTTGGAGTTCTATCCACTAGTTTGGCTTTTGGTAGCAATTTTAACCAGAATAGGGGTTTGTTTTGGAATGCTTACTTTTTTGGATGCTTGACGCGGTCGATGGCAGACATGGAATGCTTCCAACCACACAGGGGTTTCTATAGGCCATTGCTCCCCTTGTCTCTGAGGGGGGGCCAGGTTCTGTCTGTGGTCCTCGGTAGGCCATAGAACTCCATACACATGACTAATGCCAAAGTCTGACATTAGCATATCAGCCTGGTAAAGCTCCGGGGAGCCTCCGGGTCTCGCCCAGAAAATGGCGTTTCATTACATTCAACGCTGTTTTTTTTTGGGGGGGGGGGGTTCAGATTGAATGACAAGTTCTAGCTTTATTGGCCTGATTATGCATAAATACAGTATACTAAAATGTGTCGTCAGACCTTTAGTGTAATGGCCCAGAATTGATCCCCTTATTGTACAAATTGTAGTCCTTCATGATCAGTCTTGTTTGAATTGAATGTTTTAAATTTTCTAGGAAGATGACGAAACAGGTTTGCATCAATTTCTTTATGCCAAATAAAGGAACTGTTACAATAGTTCTAGATACCATCCTCTGTGAATTTGACACTAACATTGATCTGCTTCCCTTCAGCTCCATTATTTGCATCCTAAGTGATATCTAGGTAATCTTGAAGATGAGGTTCATAGTTCTGTATAGCCATACTGACTTGGAATTGTTTGCCCAGTTTACTAAAACTAGTTTTTAATTAATTTTAGGCTTGGTATACCCGCTTCCCCTAATTTGTGAGTGGCTACAAAATAAGTAGATGGGGTAAAGTTTTATGTATAGTATTTAGATATTGTTATGCTTACTTACATTTGATGTTTCAAAATTGGAATGACTAAGCTATTGTCATTTCTAGAAATGTGCTTTTCCATCAGTTTCTTGTATAAAATACTTCATTGTACTTGTGTAGGGTTGAACCATGCCAGGTAGGGCAGGGCAATTTCGACTTCAGGATGGTATGTAATATTAATGCTGTATTTTAAATTGCAGCGCTTCCCTTGGGGTGATGGCCAGAAGTCACTCTTCCACAACCCCCACGTGAATGCTCTCCCAGATGGCTATGAAGATGAACATTAATGCCTATTGTAAAGTTGTACCATAGTCCACCACTATCATTTAGTGATATAATGTCTGTCATGACCAACATACATGTATATACCGGCTAATAAATATATTAATCAGTAATATCTGAGCCAGGCTTTTTGTATATTGACATGAAATAAATTTGATGTCGGATTCTTTTTCATTTTGCTCTTTAAAAATATGATGATGACCCATGCCGTTTTAATTTGGCAAATTTTTATGCTCTAAAATATACAGTATTGGCATTAATATTAATTATCTATATACTCTTGATCAACAAGGTATATATATATATAAATATATAATATATACACATACATATATATACACATGCATATATATATATACACATGCATATATATATATACACACACATACTCACTATCCTTACCTTTCCATACATTAATAGTGTGTGCTCTGCTGTTACTATCAAACTCCTTAACAATATTTTGAAATTCCTCCTTGCTCTTGGAACAAACGTCTTTGTACTATTATGTTTGTAGTTTGAATATAACTTTCCTTTTTAAGACTACTCATAGCCCAGTCAATAGAGCGTATGCTTCTCACGTGTGGGGGTCCAAGGTTTGAGATCCATACAGCCCAGATGAATGGAAAGCCATTCATATATTACAAGCCAGGGAGTCATCACTGTCTTAGGCCAAGTCCCAAATTTAAAAACTTGTCCCATTTTTTCTTCACTTGCACATGCTCTGGTATTCATGTAAAATGAACACAGAAATCACAATAGCGTGATGCATCAAATGAACAAATCCACAAGGGCTCTAGTTTCTGGTTGCAATTCTTTTGCCATGTCATAGCTCAGTCGAATAAGGCGGCGTCTGGGATGCTCTTGGACATCTGTTCAAATCCTCGTCATGGCCCTTGTGGATTTGTTCTGGCTTTCATCTTCCCCAATCTTTCCTTCTTTGTAAGCCTGTCCTTGAATCTTGTCCTTTGGATTTCTGTACTCATCTTCGCCTTCCCTATAACGATCCCTTCTCTCTCTGAACTTCGGTCTGCCCTAGCCCTCTGCGGTTCTACTGCGGCGGGCTCCGATGGCATTCATTATGAGGTGCTTCGCCATCTCCCTCCATGCATGTCTCGGTATTTACCAAGTGTATAATCAGTTCTGGGAGTCGTCCTCAGGGACTGAGGACTGGCTCGATGCCGTTGTCCTCCCTGTTCACAAACCAGGGTCTCTGGGAACATCCCCTAAGGACTTTTGCCCTATTGCCCTCACAAGTTGTCTGCAAACTCTTTGAACGTATGCTTAACGTTCGTCTGATGTGGTTCTTAGAACACAATCACCACCCCTCTCCTTCTTAATTTAGTTTCCGCAAGTGCCGCAGCACAACAGATGTCCTGGTGAACTTGGTCTATATTCGTATTGCTTTTGCTGTGAAGACCTCTGTTGTTGCTGTCTTTTTTGACTGGAGAAGGCTTACAACACCACTTGGCGTCAACATATTTTATCCCAACTTCGTTCTTTCGGCCATCGTGGTCATCTCTCGTCATTCCTTTCGGGTGAGGCTTGGTACCGCGCGCTCTGCCTCTTTTTCAGCAATACGAAGGTGTGCCCCAGGGTAGTGTTCTGAGCACTACTTTTTCTGGTTGCCCTCAGTGGTTTTCTTTCCTCTCTTCCTTCAGGCGTCTTCTCCGCTCTCATGTCGATGATCTTGCCCTTTGCTGTCAGGGTGCTGATTCGCCTTTCCTTCAACGCTGGCTTCAACTTGCGGGATTGATGCCGTGTCGTCTTGGCTTCAAGTTCTCTACTACTAAGACTTGTGCCATGACTTTTACTCGGAAACGGGTTGTTCTTCGTCCCTCTTTGTCACTTTATGGTCATCCCCCTGAGTACAAAGATTCCACGAAGCTTTTGGGGTTATTCTTTGACAATCGTTTGTCTTGGTTCCCCATATTTCTTACCTCCGTGTTGAGTGCTCTAAGGCCCTTACCCTTCTTCGGGTATTGTCCCATACTTCTTGGGGAGCAGATAGGCGCACTCTCCTTGCTTTACATTCCTCTCTTGTCCTGTCTAAGCTCGATTATGGTTGCCCTGCTTACTCGTCCGCTTCTACTCTTCGCCGTCTTGATGCTTTGCACCATAATGGGTTATGCCTCGGTTCTGGTGCCTTTCGTTCGACTCCCGTCCTCAGCTTGTATGTTGACACTGGCTTCCTATCTCTCCAGGACCACTGTGAGTGCGGTCCTTGCAACATCCTTCCTCTCGCCTCTGTTGTGCTTTAACTTTTACCCCTCCTGCGGTTCCTGTTCTTCACCACTTCCCTCTTTCTGTCCGGTTATCTCGCTTACAGGATTCTCTTATCCGTTCGTATTTCTAATATTTCTCCTCGTGTTGTTCCTTCTTTGCCCCCGTGGAGAGTCCCCCTTCCGCAGTTTTGTACATCCTTGACCCGCATCACTAAAGCTTTTACCCCTCCTACGGTTCTAAAACGCCTTTTCCTTGAGCACTTTTCTTCTCACTCCCACTCCGTTTCCGTCTTCACTGATGGGTCTAAGTCTGCGGACGGTGCTGGCTACTCTGTTGTTTTTCCTGATCACACTTATATGTGTAGCTTACCTCCAGAGACTAGCATCTTCACACCGGAGCTTTATGCTATTCTCTCTGCTCTTCGTCTCCTGCTCTCTCGTTGTCAATCTTCCTTTGTAGTTGTTGACTCTCGTAGTGCCCTCATGGCTCTCTGGGTTCATCCAGTGGTTGTCGAGATCCAGCATTGGCTGTTTCTTGTTCACAGTAAATTTAAGTCGGCTGAGTTTTGTTGGGTTCCCAGCCATAATGGTCTCTCTTTAAATGAGCGTGCGGATGCTGCATATCCTTGTTGAATGTCTTGACTTCCGGGACGAGAGTGGCTTGTTTTCCGACCGTCCCCCGCGGTCGCTTGTCTCGATAGTTGACTCGGATACTTTTGATATCGTTCGCCTTATGCGTTTCTCATATTGGCATCCTTGGTGATACTTAGCGCCCTCTGATTATCCCGCACATTTAATGGTGCTACATAGCCTTCCCGGTTTGGTGCCGCCTTTTTGATAATTACTTACTTGTGGATTTGTTCATATAAAATGAATTTACTGTAAATTGCCTCCTTGCACCATATCTTTCGAACCCCTCTCAATGCCTCATAATCTAGTTCTTAACTTATTCTAAATCTTTAAAGGCAGCAAACCTTCGCCTTGCTAAAAGCTTTCTGATAATTCTCTAAAAAAAATTCCCAAATCTACCCTGTTTCTTCGTTTTCCCTATTTTTTCAATATGTACTTTTCATTTACATTTAGTTCTTTGCCTATGAGCAGTAGCATGAAAGGATGACAACAATGGGCACAAAAGTCTTGATCAGACCCCTAGGTACAGGGAGCTACCGACTTGTGAAGACTTTTCGTTATTTTGATCTAATCATAGCTCTAATATTCGCCATATATAGACATAATCTGAACCACATTAACATATTGGAAGTACTATACACACACAGGCTAGGATTGAACATGGAGAACTTCTGCAAACTTGATTGGCATGCTTTTATAAATGTTAAGATTTCCTATTGCCAAGTACATGATGCCTGTTGGGTTTATGAGGGTTCCCTTAGCCAATGACTGACCTTCCCCAGTTTGTAACCTACAACAGTACTAGGTATCTATTTACTGCCATGCAAACCAAGGCATCAGGAATTCAATTTCTTTTCTTTTCATCAATTGGTGCTAACCTTGCCAGAAAATCCCAGAGACCCAGACACTACCATCTCTCCGGCAGCTATCCTAACTCGACTCAGTTTACCAGTCAGCCCGACAGACATTATATCCATAATTCAATTGCTTAAAACCAAAGCTGGGAACATCAGTGAAATATTACCTATGGTATATAAGAGTGCAGCCCTTGGTCTTGCACTAACCATAGCTCTGCTCTTCAATAAATCTCGTGTCATACTTTTCCTGATATTCTTGAAAAAGCTAGTGACACCACGAGACAGCTAACAAATAATTAGACCAATATCAAATCTACCTATGCTTTCAAAACTATTTGAAAAAATGATTTACAAACATCTCTATTCCTACTTTATTAAACTTAAGTTCCTGCTAGTTTGGCTTCCGTTCCCAAAAAGAGTAGTGATGCCATTATTAGTCTGCTTAATATAATCTATACAGTCATTGACAAAAATGAGTTCCCAGTTGTGCTGAGAGAAACATTTGATACTGTAAACCATAAGTACCTCATACTTGAACTTCACCACTATAGTATCGAGGCCTTGTTTTGGACTATATTCGTTCCTGTCACACCAATATGTAGCCATCCGTATTCGTTCCGGTCACCAATATGTAGCCATCCGTATTCGTTCCTGTCACACCAATATGTAGCCATCCGTAACTACCTCCCCTACTCTACCTCTAACAGTAGGAGTGCTACAGGGCAGCATCTTAGGACCTTTCCTACTTCTTATATACATCAATGATTTGCCAAATGTTTTTAACATTCTTCCACCTATACTATGTGCTGACGATACTACCTTCATCTATTCTGACCCCCAACCCCCCCTCACACTAAATAATATTGTCAATAATGAATTAAAAAAAAAAGTCCACTCATGGATATCGACCAACAAACTCGCACTAAATATAGAAAAAACTTATTACATTTTATTTGGTAGTAAATCAAATCAAATTTAACTTTAGATAGACAATGTTAACATTACCAATAAAAATTAGCTCTTTGGCCTATACATAGACAAGAGACTGAACTTGGCACCCACATATAACACACAGCCAAAAAATCTAAAAAACGGTCGGTATATTTTCTAAATCAATTTTAATGTTCCCCACTCTGCTCTCCTCTCATTATACTACGCTCTAATCTATTCCTATCTTACATACGGTATCTGTGCATGGGGTTTAACCACTACAAATTACCTCAAGCCCATCATCACTCGGCAAAAGTCTGTTTTCAGAACTATAACACACTCTGTATTCAGACAACACACAGCCCCTCTGTTTAAGTCCCTTAACATGCTAAACATACACTCATTCCTCACATTTTTGTGTGCTATCTACATGTACAAAATCATGTCCTAAATGTCCTAATGCTATAATATCTAAATGTCCTAAATGCTAATCTTAATCTGAATCTTTTCCTTGATAGGTGTAAT